TGATAGAAAAAAGATGCAGTTGTACACAGTATCTGATATTGAGAAGATAAATTTTTTAGGAAAGAGAAGCTTGTTATCTATAAAAGCATGAGTAATGAGTTGAATAATTTTTATAGACTTATATACTTAAACATAATTCAAAAATTTTTTGGTAAATCTTTGAGTGTATCTGCAGTATATTTTTTCCGCTCTGTGTTTATCATTGTGAGAGCAGGGATAAGACATTTCTTTTACCCATGGTGTTTTAAAAATAATTTTATATCTTACACTTACCCAACTATTTATTCTTCATAAAATCAAGTTTACATTAAGAAACTAGTTCTTCAGGGGGCTGGGGAGATGGCTCAGTAGAATAAGTGCATGCCTAGCAAGCACAAGGGCCTGAGTTCAATCCCCGGTTCTGCCAAAAAAAAAAAGAAACTATAGTTCTTCATGTTAATTATTGAGAAATAGAACAGTACTCAAATACTGTTTGTTGTTTTATGTTCATATTTCAAGCTCCTTTCAGGACATGGTTTGTATTTCTTTTGTATTTGCTTTCTCCATAGGGCCTAGTGCAGTGCTTGTACTGTGCATAGTTTGTGCATATTGAGTTCCATTGTGAGTTTACAGCACAATTCACTGAGTTAGAGGCATTTTTAAAGCCCTAAGTGAAATGTCATACAAACTTTTAGTAGGTGTTCATTTTAACTTGAGATTTTATGTGTACTTTAGGAAATCGCCCTTACATTTTCTTATCTGCTCGGGTACATCCTGGAGAAACCAATGCAAGTTGGGTTATGAAAGGAACATTGGAGTATCTCATGAGTAATAATCCTACTGCTCAGAGCTTACGAGAATCCTATATATTTAAAATTGTCCCTATGCTAAATCCAGATGGTGTCATCAATGGAAAGTAAGTTAAGTATTTACCAAAATATTGTAGATGACTGTGGTTGTCCTGTGTAAACTTGGTGAAATAATAGTATCTGGGTGAATTCAGAAAGCAAACCCAGTGATTTTTCTAGAAGAAAAAATTTTTGTTCATAAATTCATCTACAATAAGCTTTTAAATGAAAGTATATTTTATATACTGGTTATAATATGGTATTTTAAGAATTCTGTATCTACAAGAATAAAATTTCACAAAATCTTGGTCTTGAATTGTTTAGAAAAATCAGTGCTAGGAAATGAGAACAATTATTAACACATGCCTCTTATGTTGTTTTTTATTTATTAAAGGTATAAACTTAGGCTGGTTTAAGCTTAAAATTTAGAGTTTAGGGGGATCTCTTTCCATAGCTGTGAACTATGGGGACCATCTTCTAACTTCTTCCTGATAAGAGCAGATATAGTTTCTGACAGAAGGAATTCTTTAGCCTGAAAATTCTGGAAGATAGTTACTTTCTAAATCAAGGTGGCATATAGCTAATGCTGTAAACTTATCCTAGCCATTTGACTAAGTTCTTGAATGCTTCTGAAAGATGAGATGTATGTAGTTTCGCTGCCATGAGCATCTCCAAAGATGAAAATGCCATGTATTACTTAGAGAATAAACACAGCATGCATTTTCTCATATTTTATGAAATAGCTGAATTTTTTAAAAATAGAATTTTTAAATTTTAGTTAATGTGTTATGAAACTAAAATGATCCTTTTTAAAAAATTCAGAAACCAGCTAGAATTCTATTTATATTTTTCTTCTCACTTTCTGATTAAGTTTTGCTTGATGGTTTTAACATTTAGTTACCTGTGAATTACATTTTTACAAATAGTGTATGTAGTTTTCATATGCCTGTCTTTCTAGAGGATGACTCATATATCACTTTACAAAGTAATCCAGGCAGGGTATAGAATATAGTACAGCAAGTGATTAAGTTATAATGAAAAATATGACCATTAATAAATTTTATAAAGTATGGAACAAGGGCTGGCCAAATGGCTCAGCAGATTAAAGTGCCTACAAGCAGATACAGAGGCCAGAGGTTCAATCCCCGGGTCTGCTGTGCTGGTCCCACCTCTGGGGCACGCTGAGACAGCAAATAAGACTGGTTGTGGTGGCTTGCACCTGTAATCCCAGCTCTTGGAAGGCTGTAAAGAGGTGGATCACTACAAGTCCGGTCTAGTAATGAAATCCTGTAGAGCCTTCCCTAAAAAATACAACAACAGCAACAACAAAAGTGTGGAACAAAACCCCAGGATTAAGAATTACTTATTCTACAGCTTAAAAAATCTTGATTGTAAATTTGAAAGCATACCACAATGTATATGTGTGTGTGTGTGTGTGTGT